CTGTGGTTTCCAGGTTTTTGCACTTAAAAGAAATTTCTTTAGTTTATTTTTGAGAGAGAAACAGAGCGTGAGTGGGGGAGGGGCAGAGGGAGGGGGAGACACAGGATCCGAAGCAGGATCCAAGCTCTGAGCTGTCGGCACAGAGCCCGATGCGGGGCTTGAACCCATGAGTCGCGAGATTATGACCTGAGCCGAAGTTGGGTACTCGACCCACTGAGCCACTCAGGCACCCCCGCAGGTTTTTGCATTTTTATGTCAGTATGATTTTAAAAAATTTAAAATTTTTTTAAATGTTTTATTTATTTTTGAGAGAGAGAGAGAGAGGCAGAACATGAGAGGGAGAGACTGAGAGGGAGGCCCAGAATCCGAAGCAGGCTCTATGTAGGCTCTGAGCTGTCAGCACAGAGCCCGACGCGGGGCTCGAAGCCACGAACCACAAGACCATGACCTGAGCCCAGGTCGGACGCTTAACTGACTGAGCCCCCCAGGCGCCCCCTGTCAGTACAGGTTTTAAATGGTTGTTTAAATGTGCACACGTGTGAACGGTCTCCCCCAGCCCCCCGGGGGTGGGCCCCGGCCTCCAGGGTCCGGGGGAAGCGGAGAGACTTAACCCTTGCAGGGTCCGGTACTTTCCCTCTGTCCTGGGTACTGAGCTTTATGGAGAGGCCTGTGCTCCAGAAAGCCTGTGATGTGGCCGGCAGGTGTGCGTGTTGCAGACGAGGATGCCGAGGCTCAGAGACGTCCCACAGCCGCCCCGCCTCCCAACAGAGCTTTGTCTCGCCGGGAGAGGGGACCGAACCCGGACCCCTGACCCTGATTCCTGCCCTTGGGAGGGAGGGGCTTGCCGGTTTACCTGCCGGCCAACTCGCCAGGGCTGTGAGCGTGAACGTGTCGAGGTCCCGAAAATCCCAGGCCCCAGAGCAGGCTGGGTCATGCCCCGGCACTCTTTTCTTGTCTGGCTTTGTCTGTCCCGCCTCTGTGACCTAGAGAGGCCGTGGTTGCTGTGGTCGTGGCGGGCGCTTGCTCCCTGGCCGGGGGACCGGTCTCTCCGGAGCGGCATACACCCCGATGGCGAGTGTGGGGTGCGGGCGAGAGCACGTGGCTAGGTAAATAAATATTATTGAGCGTAGCGAGAAATTAACCATCTGGCTTCTGAACCCAGGCACGCTTCCCACGCCCACCACTTTCAAGTACGCGATCGGCAAAGCTGCTACATAAGTGGAGCCCATTATGTAAAAGGGACTAAAAGTCTTTATTTCTGTGCTTTACAGCAAAAAGATGAAGGCCTTAGAATCGTTGATTGGAATGATTCAGAAGTTCCCTTACGATGACCCTACCTATGATAAACTTCACGAAGACTTAGACAGAATCAGAGGGAAATTCAAACAGGTCTGTCCCCTGCACGTCTCTCTTCGATTCGGAAGTGCGTCTCTCCGGCGGCCGGTGCGTGGTCTCGGGCTTACGTCGCTCGTGGTCTGGGGGCTGCGTGCGCCCTGTAAGCGGCATTTCTGCGTCTCCGTGTAAGAAAAGGGAAGACGGCCTAGAGAACGGGGTTAGGACTTCCTTAGGGGGTGGGGTCGTGGAGTCGAGAAGCTGCAGGTAGAAAGTTTTGTTCTGATTTGTGAGTAAAAATACGTAAGGTTTTAAAAAATACATCCTTTTTCTTTTGTGTTTTCAGCTTTGTTCACTACTGAATGTTCAGCCGGACTTTAAAATTAGTGCGGAAGGTTCTGGACTTTCATTTTGAGGATGACAGATGAACAAAGACGAAACATCAAGGAACAGATGTCCGTATGTTAAGTGTTTAAAAATGTGATTCAAGGCAAAACAATGATGGAGTATTCATTGTTCTGGGGGGAGGGATCCAGTCCGGCCGGTGAAAGGGCTTCCTTCTCCCGGGGGGCCTCCTGTGTCGCCTCGGTGCCCCTCCCCCCCCCCGCAGTCCCTCTACACAGGCCCGGCCTTTGTCGGGTCCTGTCCACGCTGCGGTCTGAGTGGGTCCCCCCCCCCCACCCCGGCCTCGGGAGGCCTCTCCCTTGCGGTGCAGGGTCCGCTGGCCTTGCGGCCCCCTCCAGTGGACGGGCCTGGCCGGTTCTAGACTGGGGGTGGCCCTGGCTGCGATTTCCCCCCACCCGAGCCTGAAATCAGCACTCAGAAGAACAGGTCTGTAACAGCCGAGAGCACCACGGCTGGCCTGACGGGAGATGGCAGTGGTGTGCCCAGGACAGTGCCCTTCATTGACCCGTAAGATGTGCCAGCGCCGGGTGATGTGCTCCCCTGTTCCGGTTATCCCTGCAGTGTTCCCACTTCACAGATGAGGAGACCGAGACCCGCGGGGACTGCCCGGTCCAAGGGCGCCCGGCAAGCAGAGCCGGGGCTCCGTCCTGCGCCCGCCTGTCACCACCGTCTGGTGCTGCCTGCCCTGGAACGCGCCTTCGCAGCCATGGAGCAGGGTCGCTGCTCTCGGGCCCGGTGTGCCCAGGGCCCCGCTGGGGAGTCCACCATGACCGGCTGACGTGGGCACCTGGCTTGGAGCGGGTTCCGAGGGAGCCTGGACACTCTCTTCGCACGGCCTCTCTCCGCATCGGGCTGGGGCTTGGCAGCGTTGAGCGTGGGTAAAGGGAAGATACTTCAAGGACTAGATGTCAGGCCACTGTCGTGCGTACGCAGAAAGTTTGGGAGCCTTATGTTGAGGACGCTGTGTTTTCCTGTCATACGAGTTCCTTTGCCTTCTGCCTGTACCTGGCGGGCATCCGAATACCACCATGAGGTCTGGATTGCTGGCGCAGGTGACGCAAGGTCGTGGCTCCTGGGCGTCCCTCTGCCCGTGCGTCTGCGCACCCCCGGGGGGTGGGGGGGCAGGGTTGCCGGCAGGTCCCGCCTGCTCCTGTCTGCGGCAGCGTGGCCGAAAGTGACTCGTGAGATTGATAAGGGGTAACCGCGAATCGTCCCGGTTTTTAAATACGTTCCAGAGCGTCTTAGCGACGGCTGTTGTGCCGCCCGGGCCGGTGGTCGTGAGAGCCTGCCGGGAGACCGGAGGCCGGGGGCCTCGAAGGAGCGGGGCGCTGGGTGTTTTCTTTCCTCTGGTTCCGTTGCCCTGGCGAGTGTGCTGAGGACGAGAGAGGTGGCTTCAGCTGGTGAAGGTGGACACTCGGGCTCGAGCCTGGCACACTGTCGCAGGCGGGGGCGTCACCGCGCACGTCTCTGTCTCCGCCCCACCCGGCTCCCGGGGCGCTCGCGTGCTCATGCACCGCCTCACGGCCGGACCCTGCGGCCACAGACACCGACTGCGGGTGTCCCTCGCCGGTGGGATGGGGGGCTCTGGTGGTTTTCCCTGGGGGACTGTTTTCTGAGCGTTCTGTTTTGATAACGTGTTACTCTGTTACAAGCAGAGAGCAGAATAAATAGATTGCAAAGCAGAAGGCCTTCTGGTACTGTTTGTAATGTGACATCCAGCAACTTAACTACTTTCTGGTATTTGGGATTTAGGTACAAAAGCAGGCAGGCGTGCAGTCGGCCCGGGCACAGCTTCCTGTTGTGTTTCCGTCCACGCGCCTCCTTAGAACACAGAGATGTGGTTCTTGGGAGAGAGTAGTGCCCTGTGATGTTCGGCGAAGGGTCAGCTCCCGCCACCCGGGCCTGGCCACCTGTCCGCACTTACTACTGTTCCCTCCTGCCCAGACCCGCCGTGTCCCTCTCTGTGTCAGCCTCTCCCGCCGCGGGTGTTAGCGTGGGCCAAAGGTGGCCTTTCCCTCTTCCCTCTCCGCACGGGAGGCCGAGCTGCCTCCCCCGTTTCCTTCAGAGGCTCTGGACCCGGGCTGCCCCCGTGCCCGCCCAGCTCCTTCGCAGACAACTGGACCCGGTGTCTAGGAACCCTTGGCTGCCTCGGACACTCCTTGATTATGGCACAAACCCAGGCCTCCTTGACGCTTGCGCTCCGTGCCGGGGGAGGTCATCTGCAGCGACTGGTTCAGGCGTGCGCATGGCTCCCCTCGGCCGATGAGACGCGAGTGGCTCCTGGGAAAGGTTATAGCACTCCAGAGAGAACATACCTGTTTCGGAAGCTGTCCCATGGAACTGCTTGTCCCGTGGACGTGACCGACCCCTGGAATCACTGCAGGAGACTTGCACCTGGCTATGGACGAAAGCACACCTGGGCGTGGTGTGGCAGGAGCCGGCGAGGACCCGGCCCTGGTGGCACCGAGCAGCTGCCGGCCAGCCCCTGAGCCGCATTGCTTCTGGACTTGACGTTACATGAGCTGACGAATGTCCCCGAGTTCAAGGCTGTTGGGGTTGGGTTTCCGTTCACAGGCAAGGTTTCCTGCTTGTGTTCCCCCGTCCCATCCGATCCTGTCCTGGGCACCTAGTTCTCTCGGATGTTAACCTTTGTCCGTGTTGGCCTTGAGTTTGGGAGCTGTCCGGCTTGGGTTTTGTTTCTTTCTGGTGGGTTCATTGTTTCCCCAAGGCTTTGGCCTGCTCCCTCTTTCCTGTTGGAAACCCCCAGCGTGTTTTGTGCCACTATTAGCCCACTGGGGCCACCATGACAGACACCGTGGACTGAGGCTCAGCCAATAGACATGTCCTGTCCCCCCCCCCCCCCCCCCCC